AAACCACGCTCTAGGAGATTGCTTCAAACCATACAAACTGCGTTGCAATTTACACACCATCTTAGTCTCATAATTTGTCATGTATCCCGGAGGGATATCCATATATATTTCTTCTTTTAAGTACCCATGGAGAAAGGTGTTTTTCACATCTAACTGATGCAATGGCCAATCAAGATTTGCTGCAAGAGATAAAAGAACTCTGACAGTGCTCAACTTGGCAACAGGAGAAAAGGTTTCTTGATAGTCTACGCCATATGTTTGTGTAAAGCCTTTAGCTACAAGTCTTGCTTTGTACCTTTTAATAGACCCATCAACTTTGTACTTGATAGAGAAAACCCACTTACACCCTACTGGTTTCTTTCCTTTTGGTAAAGGGACAAGAGTCCATGTCGCATTCTTGTTTAATGCCTCCATTTCTTCATTCATAGCTTGAATCCATTTAGGATCTTCATTGGCCTCTTCAACGTTGCTAGGTACACTGTGTGAAGATAGCTCATTTGCAAATTTCTTAAGGGGTTCAGACAAGTCCTTCATAGAGACATAATTAGCAATTGGATATCTCGATCTATGATCCTCTTCTTCAGGAGAGTAACGCTTCGGTGGTTTTCCTCGATTATGCCTGTGAGGTAATTCATAGCTAACAGAGATATCACCATTATTATTGTCAGGAGATATAGGAGAGCTTACCTCAATGATATTCTCAGGAGATGGATCGTTGAGTACTGGAGAGGGGGGGATTCCGATACTTTAACTTCAGGACTCATATGTTCTGTTTGAATTTGACAAGAATCACTAAAAGCTTCAGTTGATGGTATATCAATATCTTTGAACCAGTCAAATGTCAACCAATTCGACTCTTCTTCTGGTGTCTCCCCCTGAAGAGAAGAATTGGGTGATACCGAGGAGTAGAAATGTTCAAATTCCAAGAATGTAACATCCATAGTTACATAAATGCGTCGAGTAGTAGGGTCATAGCAGCGATACCCTTTCTGGTGTACACCATATCCCAAAAACAGGCAGTGAATTGCACACGGATCAAGTTTTGTGCGCTGGTTTTTATGTAGGTGAACAAACGCAACACACCCAAAGACGCGAGGTGGCAGCATTTGTATTGTAGGCAGCGGTACAAATATGGACAAGGTCTGCAGCGGAGTTTTAAATTCAAGAACATTTGATGGCATCCGATTAATGAGATATACTGCTGTAGTAACAGCATCAGTCCAATGGTGTTGAGGCACATGTGCTCCATGTAGAAGAGCACGAGCAGTTTCCAGGATATGGAGATTTTTCCGTTCTGCAATACCATTTTGTTGTGGAGTTTGTGGACATGTGGTTTCATGAATAAGTCCGTGTTTGTTGAAATACTCACGGAATTGGTGATTTACAAACTCCCCACCATTATCAGAGCGAAGGATCCTAATCTTCTTTGAATATTGAGTCTGAATCATTTTATGAAATTGTTGAAATATGTGTACCACTTCATTTTTTTGTTTCAACAAGTAAATCCAAGTCATTCGAGTGCAATCATCAACAAATATCACAAACCACCGATAACCAGAGATAGAGGATTTTGGGGATGGACCCCATACATCAGAATGGATTAAAGCAAAAGGAACATTACTTTTATTCATACTTAATGGAAAAGTGACTCGATGACTCTTGGCTAAAATACAAGCTTCACATTTGAAGTTCAACAAAGATGTATCTGAAAATAAATTTGGGAACACGTGTTTTAGGTAGCCAAACGAAGGATGGCCTAATCGACGATGCCAAAGTAAAGCTTGCTCCATTTTGTTGTTTCTTGGATAATGCATGTGATGCGCTCGGCGTACACTGAAATCCTCCATATAGTACAGTCCCCCTCTCTTAGTACCACGCCCAAGGATCTCCTTCGAGAGAATATCCTGAAGGAAACAGACAGATGGATAAATTAGCACAACACAGTTCAAGTCTTTTGTAATTTGACTCACAGACAACAAATTATGAGATAAAGAGGGAACAAGTAGTGTATTTGAAAGCAAAAGGGCTGGTGATAACATCACAGTTCCAGCCCCTGTTACCGCCGATAAACCACCATTTGTGTTGGCAATACTTGAGCGCCGAGGGGTTGAACGTTCGGAAAAATCCGTAGCATCAAACGTCATATGATCGGTAGCTCCGGAATCAAGTATCCATGCATTAGAATCATCATCATCATTAGAGCAAATTAGTACATTACCTTCAATGGTGTGGGAACTTGAATTTGGAATGAGGGAAAGATGTGGTTCAGCAGTAGCTACCGCAACTTTGCCCGGGTTGCTCTCAGTTGTATCGCGACACTTTCGAGCCTGAAAGTCAGTCCACCAGTCTGGATAGCCATGAAGCTTAAAACATGTCTCACTAGTATGTTTGTTACCTCCACAATGAGAGCACTTAGTGCCATTAACTGGTCCTTTATGTTTGGATTGAGACAATATCTTACTACTCTGTAATTTGAGACCCCTAGATGCGAGAACTGCTCCAGATGATTCATTGGAGTTGTCTGTCATCACTGCCTGACGGAGAGCTTCCCTCCTAACATGTGCATATGCTTGCTCCACAGTTGGAAACGGTTTCAGTTGTAAAACATCACTTCTGATATTATCTAGGCGGTCATCAAGTCCATCCAAAAACACATACACTCGTTCTTCTTGGACAAGTGTACTGTAGTGTTGGATATCAACTTGACATGTCATCGGATTTGGACGATGAAAATCTATCTCACGCCAAAGTCCTTGGAGATCGTTATAATATTTTTCAAGAGAACCACCGGCTTGTTTAAGACGTGTCACCCGTCGCTGAAGGTCATACACCTGGGAGGTATCACTGCCATCAAAGTACGTGGTAGCAATTGCATCCCACACCAGCTTGGCAGTGGAGAATCAAATAAAGTTGCTGATTAGAGAAGAGTCCATTGAGTTGATTATCCACCCCTTCACAATCGCGTTGTCAGTCCGCCAACATCGAAACGTAGGATCTGTTTGAGGGGGTTGCGGGAGATCTCTATTGATATATCCCAGTTTGTCTTTGCCCGAGATATACATCTCGACCACCTGGGACCAAAGGGGATAGTTGCTGCCATCTAACTTGATGCCAATCGGTGCCACCGTATGGTCAGAGCCAATTTGTGACGGGGCTGAAGCACGGTTCAGAACTTCCGTCATTTTCATCGTCAACTCAACAAGAATAGAAGACGAGGTAGCCTCATCGGAGTTTGAATCCGATTCGGCCATGGAAGAAGGATGAAAGTGTTACCGTAGGTCTGGATTAAGACCTAGCTCTTGATACCATGTTAAACTGAGATTCCACTTTCATATATTTCAATCGTACCTTATACAGGAAACTAGGTACTATATATATACATAGAAAACCTTATTTCTAATTATAACTAAATCAGGATAATTATAACCAAATCAGGGTAATTATCAATTAATAACTATATTCCTATTCTAGTTCCTACATTCTTGTTGACAGCTAACGCCAACAGTAAGAACAAGATTCCACTGACAAAAATGATTACCCCGTTGAAAATGAATTTGAAAGAATGAAATAACACTAAATTTAATATCCTAGGTCACCAGAAAACCAATATAATTCATACCAAGAATAAGTTTTTTTTCCCATCAAATGGAATTGACTACACGGATCAAATTATGTCGTAATGTTATATCAAAACTCATGTTTAATAAAACAAAGATAATTCGATGAGATAAAATTCCTAACCTTATTATTCATCACCATACTACCAAGCTCTTTACCGTTAAAAGAACAAATAACCATTAAACATAACCTCTCGACTCTTTAACAATCTTTTGTTGGCATTGCCTATGCTCTAAAATCACCGACCTGTCACGCTCCCTTTTATCATCCAAGTTAAAAGAAACTCATAATTATTTGTAAAATGATATGAGTATAATGGTCTTTGCACTATCATTTAAATCTATGGAAATTCAGATATATCTCGGAGAGGAGAAGGATAAGAATTATTGTTTGGCATTAATAAGTGGTTAGATGTGTGTATGGTTCGAGGTTAAAAAGATTTATGCTAATTGAATTGATTTTGTAAAATTGATCTTGACTAAAAATGTTGAAGACAAAGAAATTTATGTTTGGATATATTTTTGCAAAAATAGTTTGAAGAGTAAATTTCAACGGAAAAATCACGTTTAAACTAAAAAAATACAAATCATATCTTTAAAAATAATCCGTTCTAAAGCGTATAATCAATTGTATTTTCGAGCAACCAAATATATCAAAATCAATTATATACATTCATAATCAATTTTAAGTGCTCCAATTGTGAAATCAAACAAACAAAAGTCTATTTCAATCTCCCCTTAAAACTGTTGATACAAATTGTAGTTAACTCAGTCTCGAAAGAATCCATCTTCAAACTGGTTGGTGTAAGTGGTGCTGTGAACTTAGAACTAACAAAATCCCACCAATTAACAACAGGTGGTTGAAATATTGTGTCTAAACCCCCCCACCTTATCTAATAATATCTACCCAGAACCTTTTGAATGGTTACAAACTTACAATGCTAATATACAAAGTTTAACTAGCCATAACTAACAGAAGCTTGCAATGCAAGAAACTTTTAAAAAACCTTTGGTTCAAAACATAAGATTTTCAACAAAAATCCAACTTTACAAATCACTCAAGCAGATCCTTGTGCTTATTTATGTGATCCAATTGCAATTCAATAAATATACTCTGTATTTAATAATATTATAAACATAACCGTTTTAATTTAAGAGAAAATTTTAATATCCGTAGCAAGGTATAATTGGTTACTCCAAACATACACAGAATACATATGGAAAAAAAAACCTACATGAAGGAAGAAATCGTGTAAATCAGAAAACAATTGTTAACTAGAGATGGTAAAAATAAAAGTTAATTATCCAAAGGAACTCCAAAAATATATAAAATCAGAAATTGTCATAACAGAACAAATAAAAGAAAAATCATGAGAAATTTTTTCACTTTCGATGTGTTGAATGAGGAGCATGTTGAAACCCATCAAAGCGCATGTTATCAATATAATTCCTAACCTCCTCTGCTATCATGCGCTGAATAATCGACCTCAAACTATCATTTCCCAACAACTTAACACCGTTATTCATTTCTTCTTTTTTCTCTTTCTCTTCCTTCAACAATTTCTCACCAGGCGGAAACAAACTCAACGGCGTCATAACGGCAACATCGTTACCAACGTCTTCTTCTTCCGTAACCGTTTCTTCACCGTCACGTGAACGTGAACCGTTGTTATTCTCTAAACAAGGCCGTTTATAACGATGATAACGGAGATCTAACAAATCGTTATAACCGTTTGGAGGACGCTTCCCGATACTCACGGGGGAAGGAGTCAGCGGAGCCTCCGTGAGACGACGGCGGAGGGTGGAGTTCCAGTGGTTTTTTATCGCGTTGTCGGTTCGACCAGGGAGAAGACGAGAAATCGTTGCCCATTTGTTGCCGTGAACCGCGTGCGCTTGGATTATGATGTTGTCTTCCTCGGGGGTAAAAGCGCGGTGTTGAACGTCGGGACTCAGCTGATTGCACCACCGCAGACGGCAGGATTTTCCAGAACGGCCGGGGATTCCGTTGCTGATGACAGACCAGTTTCGCGGACCGTATTCTTTCACCAATCTCCTCAATGTGTCATCCTCTTGCGGACTCCATGAGCCTCTCACTTTGTCGCCGCTCTCGTCATCGCCGTTGGAATTCGAGCTAATCATCCTTGAGAATTGAAACCTGTTTGTGAAAATTCCAGAGAAAGTGTTTGTGAAATTGTGAAATTGTGAAATTATGAGTCTGTTTTTATGATAAGAAAATGAATGAGAAAAAGTAGAAAACAGAAAAACTGTAATTGAAAGATGTGAATTGGAAATTTGGAACCAACCTTAAAAGTTAAAACTGTTTTTGTGTGTAACTAACTGCTTGAAGAGTTGGATTTACAACGTGTTTTCTTCACTTTCTGGTTTCTCAATCTTGAGTTATTTATTTTTTTATTTTTTTCTTCTATTTTTAAATGAAAGAAGTTGGGTGTTTTTTCGTTTGGACTTAGGTAAGTGGAAGTTTATGGGTGGGTTTATATTAATTAAATAAATAAATTTGAATTAAGGGTTTAATGAAATTGGATTAGGAAGAAGTGGGTGATTAATAATGGTGGAAGTTATAACTTCCACGTACCTTTATCTAACTGACTCAAAATAACGTTTTTTATGGAAAGTTTTTGACCAATTAGATTTTTTTAATTAATTATTAATTTAATAATTTGATTTGAAGTTTATAGGTGGCAGTTAGGAAGGAGTAATCATTTATTTTTTGAAAAAATGAAAATAAAAAAAAAAAAAAATTTTGGTGGGGCCAGGGAGGGTGAAGTAACTGAATAGAAGTCAAAATGAAGAGGAAGTTGTAACGGACGTGGGTTAGTTAAGTGTGGTGAAATATGGTTAGAATCGAAGGAGGAAAGAAAGGGGTTTTGTAACTGTAAGTTGTTATTGCAGTTAGACATGTAGATGGTATTTATGCGGTTTTTAAGGAGTTTTTTTTAATTTAAATTTTGAATAACTAACTGGATTTATTATTTATTAGTAATAACCGTATTTATCGTCTTCTTTTTTTAAATGGGGATTAAATAGGTTAGTTGATGGAAGCTTCTTTCGTGGTATCTGTAAACTCAAAACATACAATTTAAAATTGTTTTTATCTTCTATTAAAAGAAATGAAAGATAGAATTGGCGTGTAAAAATTATACTTAGTAGTAACTTTCTTGAAAAAAAACTACTATGTTAACTTGGGGTTTTAAAGATTTAACACTTAGGGTTTTGTATTGTGTAAAAAAAAAGTAATAAATTAATTTAAAATACTTTTTATTAGATAATTATTTTAAACTTAGATTTATTATAAATTTTGTTGTTGCGAGGATGTTCAATAATCAGTTTAATCCACTCCATCAAAGAATTGAAGGTACAATGTAACTCTAGACTAAAGCTTAATTAGATCCACGCTAGAAGTTGTTGTATACAGTTAGATGTCATTGGACAATCTCCCGTATTCTATGTTAAAATGGCAGAAAACGACCATAACTTCCATTCATATGTAAGACATCCCACGTTAGACTTGAAGTACTCTCTCCAATCCATAACTCACTTTACTTCTCATTCTCTTATTGACTTAGGCATTGGAGTGATAATCTAGCATGTCCACTCTCGCACTATCGTACTAGAGATTCACTCTACCGCATCAAGACTATGCTCCATCATTTCATCAAGCATTTATGGTTCCTTAGTAGAATAATGGGGTCTTTCATGGGAACTCAAAGTTCACATTGTTCCTCTTAGCCTCAAATAAGGGGAAATGTTTCACGCTAATCAAAATAATCTCACATTACTTGGGAATCGATGCTAAGGGTAGTTTACATACAACACTCATTCACCTCAATCCAATGAAGCATAATTTCTATAGGATAAAGTTGTGAGGGTTCTCACGCCTAAAAATCGACAATACCTCATGGTTGTAAAGTTTAGACTTAAGATCGATCGAAACACTGGCTTTGTCTATGGGAAGTCATATTTCACCAGCTCTTCCCCCGGAGTCCATGAGTTAGAGGCGAAGGTATATGTTTTCAAAGCACGGGAGAAATTGTGTCAGGCCCAACATTTCTAAATCTTGTCTTTACATTTCACCGACTTTAAACAAGGGGCAGAGAGGGAATAAGCGCCTCCTGGAAGGATGCAATAATAAGAGGGAGTCTATTGACTATGGGGTCACCAAAAGTTAAATATCCTTGAAGTTTTTCAATCTCTCAAGGTAGATGTCAAACATTTTCAATGACAGTCAAAGTGAGAGCAACTCTTGTCCTCGATCTTCGGTGACCGAAGTGCACGTCACGTTGAAAAGATGAAGAATAACCTCAATATTATAATCTTTCCCGTGTACTCACACCAATATTAGAACACTTTGACAAACGCCTAGACTATTGGGTGTAGTTAAGAGGGGAAATTCTCAAGTGGTTCAACATCCTCTCTATGAATCTATTGAAGGGCAACTTGAAGCTCAGTTTAGAAAGCATACATTCATAAAAAAGTATAAAGCATCCCTCAAAGAAGTTATATATCCTTTTTCTCGGGTTGACATGGGAAATATAAAAATAAGAGAACAGTTCCACCAACGTCTATAAGTATCCTCTAGATTTTCAGTATTGTTAAAGAAGGAAAATGTTCCCATAAATTCTGCCTCCACCTAGTGGTATTGAGATGCATCAACAAGCATAACAAGAATTAGTCGATCCTTTTGAATCATGTCTTCCCAACCGTCATGAAAAAGATAATATATGTCATCAATAAAGAAATGGATTTGAAAGTTGAGATGATCCCTAACCTCCCTAATAATAATTTCTCGACCATTTACAGATTTAAATGAATTAATAAAGAGATGAGTTTCTAGTTCATCTCGATGGACCTCAACGGGCTCTAGAGAATAAAGTACAACATCAACATCCCTAGTAATGGGAACATCTTTGATAGAACCCTCAAAAAAGTCAGAACACTCACGGAGAATAATGAGGTTTTTAATGGATCGATTAATTGCTAAAAATGTAACATTTGGCATTTATGGGTATACTATTCTAGTGTGATATGATGCTTCACTCGCATCACTAGATATGTCTAGAACATCTGTAGGGTTGTCTCCCATATTAGTCATGACTAAAACAAGGAAGGGAAAAACAACAAGTAGTAAGAAAATGAGAGAAATGGTACCTGAAAGAGCTGAAGCTTAGGGAAATTATTAAAGCAGAGAATAGTTCTAAGGGTGCGATGAATCAAGAAAATGCAAGACCCAGAAAATAAAAAAATACAGATAGAATAGAAATCAATGAAGCTTAAGGGATAACAACTAGGGTTCGTAAAATAAGGAAAGGCTTATAATTCAATCAAAGAGTGGGAACATGGTTAGGAAGCTGAAGTAACATTTTATATATTGGAGTGGGATAGGTAAATCAATGTTCCCAAATAAAATAAAATGGACATATTAAAAACAACACTTGGATTTGCTTTGATATTGTAACTGCACTCGAGTACACTTAAGCACCATATAGGGAAGCGTCACGCCTTAGTCTAAAGAACTAGGGAAACATGTAAGAATAATCATGTGAGACATTTCAATGATGATACTAGAATTTAATGCTCCCATTTTTGACGTCACTCACGGTGACTCCCAAATCTTTCCCTTTTCCAAGTAATGGATTGGGCATGGTAAACATAGGGTAACTGTTCTGGTCCGACCACTGGCCCAAAAAGAGGAGGCCCAATCATCAGTCTAAGCCATTCCACCAAAGCATCGAATGTATAGTGTAACCCTTCTCTAGAGCTCCCCACTTGATCCACATCAAGGGCTGATGTCTACCATTAGAAGTCATTAGACAAACACCTACGTTCCATATTGAAATGACAAGAAACACCCACAACGACTATTTATATATAAGATATCCCACATAATACTCTCTCTCCTTCTCTCTCTCTCTCATTGATACCTCATTTTACTCCTCATTTTTTACTGGCGTGCTAATCTTGTAGATCTATCTCGTGGCTTCGTAATTGAGATTTACTTCATCACAATAAGGCTCTACTCCTTCATTTCACGACACATTTCTGATTTTCTAACGAAACATTTTTGTTGATTTGTTATCATAGAGTTGTCTCAATAAATTAATATGATTGACCTATATTTAACCCAAATAAAATACTGGAGAGGCTTTGCTCGCCATTGTCACTTCAAAAAACACTTTTTTTTTCATGTTAACTGTTTTGGACTGGCCAGACATCTAGAATAGGATCAGTCTAGCCTTTTCTTTAAGTATGGTTCATACGTCTATGGCCCGAACCTCCCCGCTTCCTGTCGGGCAATATCGACCCTTTACCCTCCCAGACCGGAGTTGGCCTAAGATAATCGACTAACACCTCTCAGTCTTCCCGACATCAAGTCGTGCAGGCAACCAGGAATCGACCAGACCACTGCACGTAACTTGCCTCCCCCTCAAGACCAACGACTAGTTACAGGCACATCTGTCCGGTTTGACCAAGTTCTGGAAGTTACCTGTTTTTGCGGACCCGCGTATCCAGCCGCAAAAACAGGAACCAATGGCCATGCGCTAGTGGCATTATATATACCCTCACACTTGTGAGGGCCAAAGACCTAATATTCACTATTCACCACCAATACCTTAACACTTTGCTTGTATCTCCTTGTTCCCACTCTTACTTAATCGTCAGAGTGCCTTGCAGGTACAACCCCCTTTTCTCCTCCTTGACATCACAGTCCGATTGTAGATCATCACCCAGCCACCTTGCAGGTTCTTATCAACTGGTAAGATCAGTGGTGATGTTTGTGGGAAACTACTCTCCCCATCTTTCTTTCCTCGAAACTCAAAGATCAAAGCAAATTTTCAAGATTCCTTTCACAACTCATGGTCAACCATGATGATATCCATCTGCTCGGAAAGGCTATTATTTCCCCTGCTCACAAAACCGAAGGAAGTCAGGAGCATCCTCATCTCGAGGACAACCTAGGCTTCCGAGACGGACAAATTGCATCTCTAGATTCAACTAACGCCCGACGCAGCGACAACCAATTCTTGGACAAGGGACATCCCAAGAATCCCACCGAGGAACTGCCAGAAATCCTACAACTAGTTCCTATCCCTCTCAGCACCGACCCAACCATTGCAGTGTTA